TTTTATATTCTTAGTAGAGACAGGGTTTCACCATATTGGACAGCCTGGTCTCACTCCTGGCCTAGTGATTTACCCAACTCGGCCTCCCAAAGTGCTGGGATTACAGGTGTGAGCCACTGCACCTGGCCTACTCTTTGTGTTTGTTTGTAATCTGAAGATGTCTCAATCTGCCCTCCTTTTTAAAAAAATAACTTTATCTGGCCTACTGTTTGTGTTTGTTTGTCATCTGAAGATGTCTCAATCTGCCCTCCTTCTTAAAAAAATAACTTTATTCAGATACAGTTCACATACCAGAATCCACTGTTTCAAAGTATACAATTCAATGGTTAAGTATATTCATAGACTTATACAACTGTCACCACTGTCTAATTTTAGAACTTTACATCACCAGCCCACACATCCAAAAAAAAAAAAAAACCACCGTGTACCCACTAGCAGTCATTCCCCAGTCCCCTCTCCTCCCTGGCAACCACTAACCTACTTTCTGTCTCTGTGGATTTGCCTTTGTATTTTCTTTTGAGACAGTCTTGCTCTGTTGCCCAGGCTGGAGGGCAGTGGCATGATCTCAGCTTACTGCAACATCCACCTCCTGGGTTCAAGCAATTCTCCTGCCTCAAACTCCCAAGTAGCTGGGACTACAGGGGAGCATCATCATGCCCAGCTAATTTTTGTATTTTTAGTAGAGACAGGGTTTCACCCTGTTGGCCAGGCTGGTCTCAAACTCCTGACCTCCAAGTGATCTGCCTGCCTCTGTCTCTGTGCTAGGATCCTCAAAGTGCTGGGGTTACAGGTGGGAGCCACTACACCTGGCCCTGGATTTGCCTATTTCTGACATTTCATATAAATGGAATCATACAGTATATGCCTTTTGTGTCTGCTTTCTTTCACTTAGCATAATATGTTCAAGGTATACCCATATTATAGCATGTGCCAATACTTCATTTTTTATGGCTGAATCACATTCCATTGTATCACATTTTGTTTATCCTTTAGCCAGTTGACAGAGGTTGTTTCTACTTTTTTGGCTATTACGAATAATGCTGCAATGAACATTTGTGTATAAGCATTTGTGTGTGAACATATATCTTCAGTTCACTTGGGTATATATTTAGGAGTGAAATTGCTGGAACATATGGTAATTCCTTTTTTTTTTTTCCTTTTTTCTATTGAGACAGGGTCTCACCCTGTTGCCCAGGCTGGAGTGCAATGGTGCAATCTCAGCTCACTGCAACCTCCACCCCCCAGGTTCAAGCGAGTCTCCCGCCTCAGTCTCCTGAGTAGCTGGGATTACAGGCACGCGCCACCACACCCGGTTAATTTTTTTTTTTTTTTTTTGAGACGGAGTTTCGCTCTTGTTACCCAGGCTGGAGTGCAATGGCGCAATCTCGGCTCACCGCAACCTCCGCCTCCTGGGTTCAAGCAATTCTCCTGCCTCAGCCTCCCGAGTAGCTGGGATTACAGGCGCGCGCCACCATGCCCAGCTGATTTTTTTGTATTTTTAGTAGAGACAGGGTTTCACCATGTTGGCCGGGCTGGTCTCGAACTCCTGACCTTGTGATCTGCCCACCTCGGCTTTCCAAAGTACTGAGATTACAGCGTGAGCTACCCCGCCCAGCTGATCATATGGTAATTCTATGTTTAACTTTTTGAGGAACTACTCTAGAGCAGCTGCACCATTTTATATTCTCACAGCAACGTATAAGCATTCTATTTTCTCTACATTTTCATCAATATTTGTTATTTTCTGGGTTTTTTTTTTTTTGCTTGTGTGACAGTCATCTTAGTGAGTGTGAGGTGGTATCTCACTGTATTCTATTTTTTATGTTCATTTTAACATAAACTATACTATATACTTTTTTAACAATATATTGTGGAGATCTTGTCGATATGTACAGAACATAATCTCTTTTTTCTGGCTTTATAATTCACTGTCTGAATGTACCATCTTTTATTTAACCAGTTCTCTATGATGGGCTCTTTCTTCCAGTCTTACTATTACAAACAGTGCTGCAACAACTACCTTTACATACTCCATTCTCTACATGTGGAAGTCTGTCTGTAAGGATAACTCCTAAAAGTGGAATTCTGGGCTAAAGGGCATATGTATACTTTTATTTTTTATAGATATTGACAAATGGTACTCAGTAGTCTTTTTTAACACCTCAGTGGTCTTGAGGTGAGGTGTTTAAAAAAAAAAAAAAGCAGGGGTCAGGGAGACAGATATTGACAAATTGATTTCATAAAGAATATGCCAGTTTATAGTCACCAGAAATGTAAGTACACATTCTCTAAATGAATACTAGATGATAAGTTCAAATTTGTGAAAATACCGTGTTCTTAGTATGGTACTCTTGTGTGGGTTGACTTCAGAATCACTTCTTTTTAGCGGCTTTGGGAAAATGGCAGCTTATAAAAAGCTTTCCTTGGTTGTAGTTCCAAGGAGGAGGTAGAACCTGAAAAGGGCTTGACCTGGAGCCCTTATCTACCTTTCGTTGGTGAAACATTGGGTACTCACTGAAGATGCTGGGTAAAATATTCATTTATTCCTTCAATCAACAAACATTTATCAAAAGTCTACTATTTGGTGCTAGCTGCTGGGGAAGGAATGAAACAAAATCAGAACAAACACTCCTTTCACTGACATTTGCAGGCTTTTGAAACGACTCAGACATTAACACAACTAAGAGTAAAATAACACATTGGGAGAGAGATGTCTATCATGCCACTGGAGCCTGGGACAGCATCCGAGATCAGCAAGGGTGACCAGACGAAGTATGTTTGAATTGAGATATGAAAGATGAGTAAAAGACTAGGTAAAGAAAGTCTCTTCCTCCTCTGAAGGAAAAAGCATAGTTAACAAATAAAGAAGGCTGGGTACGGTGGCTCATACCTGTAATCCCAGCATTTTGGGAGGCCGAGGTGGGAGGACTGCTAGAGGTCAGGAGTTTAGGACCAGCCAGGGAAGCATAGAGAGACCTCATCTCTACAAAAAAAAAAAAAAAGAAAGAAAGAAAAAGAAAAATTAGCTGGGTGTGGTGGTGCATGCCTGTAGTCCCAGCTACTCAGAATGAGGTGGGAGGATACCTTGAGACCAGAAAGTCAAGGCTGCAGTGAGCAGTGAGCATGCCACTGTACTCCAGCCTGGAAAACAGGGTGAGACCCTTTCTCAGCAACAACAAATAAAGAAGAGAGGCAATAATACCTACCTCATAGCATCATTAGAAAAATTAAATAATACATGCAATGCATTTAGCAAAATGCTCAGCACATGTCAGTTACTGGGAGAATGATTATTTTGTTTCCATTGTTTCTTTTTTTTAAATAACCATATATTAGTGAATGTTAAAATCCCAGTTCCCCAAGCAAAACATTACCACCCTAGTTATGTACTTACTTCTAAACTTGTTAGTTATCTTATTCAGGTCCTTTACTCAACCAGGTGACAAGCTTATTTGGAACAAGAATCTGGCTTTATACTTTTTAGCAAAATAATAGCTCCTATTTACTGAGCATATATGACATACTCTTTATGTACATTAATTCCAACCCTCACAACAATCCGGTTTTACAGATTCTCTTCCTCATTTTACAGATAAGGAAACTAGAGTTCAAAGGGGTCAGTTAGCCTGGCCAAGGATGAAGGCAGGCCTAATCCCTGATGCAAGCAGCCACATTTGTGGTGACAGATGGGAAAGCACAGAGCTGCACTCACCCAAACACTTATCTCCAGCTGGCGTTACCTTTAAACAGGGGCAGTGAGTATGTGGAGAATTATTGAAGAAGCACCCATCCCTTCTTCCAGCTGCGTGACGTATAAATTTAGAACTCAGTAGAACCCAAAGGGTCACTGAGGAATACCTGCATTCATTCACCAAGCCTAGGCTGCTAATGAGCAAAACCCCACACTAGGAGTTGTGTACTTGATGATACAGATAATGTTAACACTCACAGAATGTTTTCTATGTGTCAAGCACTGTTCTAAGTGCTTTATATGGATTAATTCATTTAACAGCCAGGTTAAGACTGTTATGACCCCACATAACAGCTGAGGAAACCAAACTACAAGGTTAAAGGTTTTGTCCAAGGCCCTCACCTGGCAAAGTAGGGGCATTTGGATCTGGCAGTGATTTCAGAGCTTGAGACTTATTTTAGTAACAGTGTGAGAGAAGGGTCACAGAGTCAAGCACAAAATCAGACGCAACTCTGGCATAACGAAGGACCAAAAGTTCTGCGGGCTGAGCAGGAGAGTTGGTTCCAAATGTCTGCCTGCCTGCCAGCACGCCTCCAGCCCCAACCTTCTGTTTTCCCCACCCCCTCATTCCCGACAGACCACAGCTAGCCAGCCAGGAAAGGAGGGGAAAGGTCGCAGTGGGGATTTGGCTCCTCCCTTCCCGTCCAACAGCCCCTACTCAGCAGAGCCCGCCGAGCTCGCGCAGATGTAGAAAGTCTAGGTTCTTTCCCATCCGGCCCATGCACTAGACCCGGGCACACGGAAACGCCAGTTCTAAAGCCACCAGCAGCCTTCCCTTCCACGGGGTGGACGTTCCTTCCCAGGGGTCCTCCCCATTCCCAGTGTCTCTCCGGGACTCTACTTTCTGAGATTCCCCCGTTGCGTGCTCTCAAGACAGACCGCAGTCTTGGCTGGGTTGTGGGGGCGGGGTGCGTGGAGGGGGTGCTTGGTAGGGCAGCCCAACCCCCAAATCTGGGCATAAGGCTGTACGGACTGTGACCTCCTGGCTCTTCAGTTCAAGCCAAAAGCACCCTTAAAAATCATCTAGCGTCGGACTCTATCTCAAAAAAAAAAAATAATAATAATCTAGCAGCCAAGCGCAGTGGCTCACGCCTGTAGCGCCGACACTCAGGGAGGCCAAGGCAGGAGGATCGCTTGACATCAGGAGTTTGAGACCAGCCTGGGCAACACAGCGAGACTGCGAGAAGAGAAGAGAAAGACGAGGAGGGGGGAGGGGGAGGGGAGAAGAAAATCATCTAGTGGCCAATACCTTCACTACAGATGAGAAAACTGAGGCCCGTTTAAATACCAAGTGACTTGCCCATATGTAGTTAGGGTCCCATACCAGGGCCAGGTGTATTTCATATCTTCTTAAACGACACGACAAACTCTCACAGAGAGCAGAGCTTTACGTGGTGCACAAGGGCCTCACCATTCCAGTGATATCGATGGCAACTGAAACTCGGGATCTGGAATCTTGGTACCTCTAAGAAGTGAAACAAAACCTGCTCTTCAGTCCTTGAAGAAAATAACGAGTGGGATGGGGGTCTGGTGCCCTCTGACAATTCAGTGCTTGCCGAAATCTCTGGAGAAGAAGCCACCCTCCGTGGCAGGGCTTCACGGACACTAAGGCCGTCGGTGTTTTCCACCGAGTAGGTAGGAGGGAGATGTACTCTCTGACTCCTTCAAACGTTTTCTATAGCCGGAGATGGCAGTCGAGGCACACGCCTCGTCTCACTCCAGACCGCAATGACTCAAAACCGCACGACGTGTACTTTTGGAAACAGCTCAGCAGGAGCGAACCCTGTACAGTCCCCAGACGAGGCGGGGCCGCGGACGTGCGTCCCGGCGTGTACGTCCCCGCGCGTGCGTGCGGGCTCAAGTGAGCGTGCGCGTGCCCTCCGGGGGTGGGCCTACGACTATAAGGGGTGGAGGCTGGGCTGCCTTGCTCGGCGTTCTGCGGTGGACAGTGCGTTTGTCTTCGGTGCGTTTTGTGGCGGGAAGCTACTGCGCTGCTGCTTGAAACCGACTTTCCTCCCGACTCCTACACGACCTGCTGCTACAGCCGGCTCTTCCCCCGGAGGTGAGCGGCCCTATGGGCTTCCCCGGCTCCCGACTCCCATCGCCCGAGTGCAGGCCGGGCCAGCAGCCTAGCAGGGCTGGGGCTGCGCCGCTGGGAGCCTCTCTCCTCGCCCTCAACCCTACCCGGGTTCGCCAGTCAGCCGCCCAGCCCTGTTTTGTCTTGAAATGGCCCTATCTAGGATCCACGTGGGCCATCCCTTGCCCACCAGTGCTGGGTTAGGCGTCCCTGCCATACCCTCCCAAGGCACATTCACCATCTCCTTCCTATCCCAGCACTTAGCCTGTTGAGTGGTAACAACCCTTTGTCTACAAGGTTTGCCATGTGGGCCTAGTATCTTCCAGGGTACCTAACACATTGCAGAAATTCATGGTATGTTGGTTAAATAAATGAAATTGACAGATTTGCCCCTCAGATTTATTTGGATTTGCAAAAAATTTGTAGTTAACTCCAATCTGTGATATGGGAGAGACTTCCAGGCAGGTGGTTTTCTCTAGCGCAGGCTCTATTTCCCATTTTACCCGCCGCCCCTCTGCAAAAGGCCTGGACTTGTTTCAGGAAGGTGACTGATACCTGCACTGTAGCACAGGGGTTGTGCATTGTGCAACCCCTTTGCACAATTTGCAGGAACAAAGTTTTCAAGAAAGTAAAAATTTTAAGAAGTGTTCTTGAATTAGTCCAAGAAGCAAGACTGGCTCCGCAGCCATGAAATTTGAAATGTAAATATACTTGGAGAGTCGCTGTGTAGGAATATCCCCTGGTCCCTGTCTCCCTCACTGGCTAAGCCTCTCCTTCAGCTCCGTGGGAGGACAGAAGAGTCAGTGCTAGATGCATGCATATCCCAAAAGGGTGTAGATTGATTCTTTCCTCTCTTTCCTCAGGATCCAGAGGCCTTCCAGAAGCAGAAGGCAGCTCTGCTGCTCTGCGGAGGAGTAGGGTCCTTTCAGCCATGAAGCATGTGTTGAACCTCTACCTCTTAGGTGTGGTGCTGACCCTACTTTCCATCTTTGTTAGAGTGATGGAGTTCCTAGAGGGCTTACGAGAGATCCCATCGCCTGGGACCTCCTGGACCACCAGAAGCCAGCTAGTCAACACAGAGCCCCCCAAGGGCCTTCCAGACCATCCATCTAGAGGCATGTGATAAGACTTCTTTCTATGCTGGCCATATTTTGCAACACTGACCTACACGTGTCCAGATGGGAGTCCCATTCTTAGCAGGCAAGCTGAGCACCAGTGTAACCAGAGAACTATTACTAGGCCTGGAAGAACCTGGCTAACTGGATCCTCATTGCCTGGACAAAGCCTGTTTAGGTCGGCTGCCATGATTTACGCATGTAACCCTAGCACTTTGGGAGGCTGAGGCAGGTGGATCACCTAAGGTCAGCAGTTTGAGACCAACCTGTCCAACCTGGTGAAACCTAGTCTCTACTAAAAATACAAAAGTTAGCCGGGCGTGATGGCAAGTGCCTGTAATCTCAGCTACTCAGAAGCTGAGGCAGCTGAATTGCTTAAACCCAGAGGGTGGAAGTTGCAGTGAGCCAAGATCACACACCTTCACTCCAGCCTGGATGAAAGAGCAAGATTCCATCAAAAAGAAAGAAAAGAAAGAGCCTGTTTAATGCACAGGTGTGAATGGATGGCTCATGGCTGTGAGACAGGTTGAATTCGCCCTTTCCCCAGGGCCTGCTGTATGCTGTGCTTTCTTCAGCAGTATGGCTCTGACATCTCTTAGATGTCCCAACTTCAGCTGTTGAGAGAGGATGTTTTCAACTCTGTTTCCTAAACATCTGCCAGGGGTTCCTTTAGACATGAGTGTCTTATGCTCCATTATTTGGTGTTCAGCCTCTCTTCCGCGAGAGCTCCTCCATGTTTGGATAGCAGTTGAAGAGGTGTGTGGGTGGGCTGTTGGGAGGGAGAGGATGGGGTGTTCAGTGCCCATTTCTCATTGTTTTGCATTTTAAAGTCCTTCCCCCAGCATAGTGTGTGTTGGTCTGAAGGGGGTCGTGGGATGCCGGAGCCTGCTCAGGTTACGGACATTGTGGCCACTATGTGGCTTAAATGATTTTTTCTAATTAATAAAGCGGAATACGTGTTTCTACTATGTGCCATGTTGGCTTCTGCCCTTGAAATTCTTGGTAGGGAAGGGTCTTAATTTCTAGACCTGAGGCTTAACATCTTAAAACTTTGGAGCAGGAAAGTGCTTAAACCACTTTGTTTAAAACATAATAAACCTCTGAATTTGGGGGCAGAAACAGTTGGGTCTGCCCTGTATCAACCAGTTGTGTGAGCCTAGGCCACGACTACTGTAGTCCTCTCGTGACTAGATCTGTAAAGAAGAAAAATGAGCGTCGCCACTTCCAGCCCCTCTCCTTGAGTCTCTGGGACAAAGAGGACTGTCAGTCCAGGAGGCCGTGGCTTTTTTCTTCTGTGCTCTTCAGCATGTTTTACTTACCCACCAAAAAGACTGCTTAATTCCAGTTGTTCTCAAAGTCAGTTGGTAAAGTGTCCACACTACAGATGATTATTTCTGCTCTCCCAGATCTAAGCAACTTGGCCTTTCCTCAAAAGTTGGAGCTATTTTTTTTCCTTGTATCCACCACTCTTCTCCCTGTCCCATGTACAATTGTATCCACTCCTCTGCCTGTGACAGTATTTTACACTCCCATCTCAGTGTGTGCATCATTTGATTAATTTGATTTACTTTTGCCAAAGGGAAACAGTAGAGTACAGTGTCTTCTCCGAAACCAGTTTTGCTTCTTGAGTGAGTATTCCCAGAGTGTCACGATAGAAGTCTCTGGGTTAAGCATCACTTTCATTTATTGCACTGTGGTTGACATTAGTGTTACTTATCAAGTATTTCCAGTTTCCCACCTTCTGGATACATGGTAAGTTGGTCCCCTTGTGGTTGACTGGGTTTATGTGACTCTTACTTTGTTAGCATAGTACTACTCTCAAAAATGTAGGTGGCTTTTTCTGATTTCAGACAGTTTCATGTGCCAGTAGTTGCCCTTTCCTAGTCATATTTCTTGTATTTGATATATTTTCTCATTCTCATGCCTCTGTAATTTGGGTATTTTTGAACTTTCAATTGGAGAGCTGCACTTTAAGCCTCTCCTCCAAGTGGTTTAGTTGAACCCTTGTGGTTGGATGGGGCCATGTCTTTAGTTCTAGCCAGTGAGCTGTGAGTGGTAGTGACTTGGGTTAATTCTACATGAGAGCATTTCAGTGCTGGAGAAACCTGTGAGGCCCTCTTTTTCCTTCTGTGCAGTGACCAGCAGTGTTTCATATGGAACTGTTCCATTAGTGTAGGTCCTGGAATGATGATGCCATGAAGCAGAGCCCTTAATCTGTCCAATCTGACTGGGATGTGGAAGAGAATTCTAGACCGGTTGCTTTCTCTAGGGCATGCTCTTGTATTTCCCTTTACCCACCACCCGTCTGCAAAAGGACTGAGCCTGTTGCAGGAAGGTGACTGACACCTGCACTGCAGCACAGGAATTGTGCTACTGATATCTGGGGATTTTGTTAACTGAAGTGTAACAGTCTATCCTGACTGATACATTGTGTACAGCACCTATTGGATGCCAGGCATCAGCTAAGACCTCATCACTACCTGCCTCAAAATGTACAGGAGGTAGTAGGGGGAAACCTTGTGAACAAATAATGTGCCATGGTTTTATGATAGACATGTGTATACAGGATAGGGGGTATATAAAGATATTTGTAGGCAGGAGGAAAAACTTTAGAGGATTTCAATTTTTTAAAAATGAGTAGGTTGTAGGCCTCCTGGTCAACTTAGGGAAAGGTGTCTGAGTAAAGAGAACACTGTCAGCAAAGGCACGGATATGAGCCTATGCACAGCTCATTTAGAAAACTGCAAGTACAGTCCAGGCACGGTGGCTTACACCTGTAATCCTAGCAGTGGGAGACTGAGGCTGGTGGATCACCGGAGGTCAGGAATTCATGACCAGCCGGGCCAACATAATGAAACCGCAACTCTACTAAAAATACAAAAACTTAGGCAGGCGTGGTCACAGGCACCTGTAATCTCAGCTCAGTAGGCTGAGGCAGGAGAATTTCTTGAACTCGGGGGTTGAAGGTTGCAGCGAGCCGAGATCACACCATTGCTGTCCAGCCTGGGCAACAAGAGTGAAACTCCATCTCAAAAAAGAAAAAGAAAAATGCAAGTACAGGCTAGGCACAGTGGCTTATACCTGTAACTCCAGTGCTTTGAGAGGCTGAGGCAGGAGGATTGCTTGAGCCCAGGAGTTCAAGACCAGAGAACAGAGCAAGACCCTGCCTCTATTATAAAAATTCAAATTAAAAAAAATTTTTTTTTCCATCCAGGATCTCACTTTGTTGCCCAGGTTGGAGTGCAGTGGTTCAATCTTGGCTCACTGCAACCTCCACCTCCTAGGCACAAACAATCTTCCTGCCTCGGTCTCCCGAGTAGTAGGGACCACAGGTGTGCACCACTACCCCCAGCTAATTTTTGTATTTTTTGTAGAGACAGAGTTTCACCATGTTGCCCAGGCTGTTCTTGAACACCTGGACTCAAGTGACCTACCTACTTCAGCCTCCCAAAGTGCTGGAATTATAGGTGTGAGCCACTGCACCTGCCCCCCCCGCATCCATTTTTTTAAAAATATTAGCTGGGCATAATGATGCATACTTGTAGGCCTAGCTACCAAGGAGGCTGAAGTGGGAGGATAACTTGAGCCCAGGAATTTGAGGCTGCAGGGAGCCATGATCATGCTACTGTGCTCCAGCTTGGGTGACAGAACTAGACCC